TTCCTTACATTCTGATTCCATACATTTCAAAACTTGTACTGACTTTTTTTTTTCCTAGCTGGGCAGTCATCCTGAATCAAGGAATCTGACTACTCCTGGTAGAAAGCCAATAGCAGGACTTCAATCCTTACTTGCATGTAGGCTGGAGACCGAATCTGAAAGTGTGTTGAACAGCATACACTCCAAAGCTATTGGCTTAAAATAAGAAACATGCATTTTTTTTTTCCCTCGCAAATCTCAATAGCTCTCAGCTGTGCTTCTTTACGTCTCTGCAGTATGCTGATGGGTTTGTTAAGACTAGGTGGTCTAGCACAGTCTAAGCTGGGGTGACTCAGCTCTGTCCCTGGGCCTCTCCTATGCCAGGGTAGCCTGGGATCCTTGTTATGGTGATAGTGAACTTTAAGACAGAAAGTCAGCAATGCACAAGCACACTCTCTAGACCCTGCTTGTGTGAAGTCTGATGCATCCTATAGGTCAACTCAAGTCACATGGCCAAAGGACAGATGTGAGAAGTCAGAGAAAAGGCACTGAACATCCAAAGAGAAAATATCCATGTCATAAGACCAAACAACAACAACAAAAGAAACAGCTTTGCCCACAAACATAGAAAACATTATAACTACTTTTTTTCAGTTTGGTTGCTTGCTTTTTCAAGTGTTGGATTTGGAAGACAAGCAAGTTTGGTTAAGGCCTTGTTCCAAATCTTGACCCTTTTTTGTTGACCAAAATATAGTTGCTGTGCCCAGAGCAACAAATTGATACAAAGGCAATTCAAAGCATTTGCAAAAACTTCCCACAAACCTCACCTTGGAAACACACTGAAAGGATCACACAAAGTCATATTTTGAGTGTTTAATTAAAAAGAAGAAATAATAAAACCTGAACTTCAAGGGTTATTCAGATAGAAGTTAGTCTGTAACAAGCAAAGGAATTTTATGGATGGGATTGATTCCCCTCTTTAATTGTGGTTGATTTTCTTCTAATTTCAACAGTCAGATCTTTCAAAGTTTCACTCTATGTACTCTGATATTTTCTAATTTTTATCTTCTTTTGCTATTAGACAATAGCTAAATTGGCAATAAAGTATGAATAAAAATAATTCAAAGATGATTAAAATATGAAATCCGTCCCAAAGGCATAACAATGTACAAGTATTGAACTAGTTCATACAATGCAAACAAGTTTAATATAGTGATTTTCAGAAAGATCTTTTTCAATCTAAATTATTATTTTAATTGGTAATAAAATTCATGTAAACATCATGTCCCAAGCTTGTCAAAAAATTCTTCCCCTGTTAATTACCCCAATTAATGTGTGGTCAAATAGTCATAATGGAAGTTTTTTATTCTGACCATAAGCTGTGATCTGAGTGACTTGCTGCATCTATAACATCAAAATTAATATGTGAAATCCAATATTAGTTCCAAATTTAATTTCAGGTATAACTAAAATGCATTTCAGGATGAGAGGGATAAATAAAAGCTAATGATAGTAATGATTTCTTTTATTTCCTGAAGGTGCATACATCGCATTTCCTGGCACCGTTCTTTCAATTCCTTTCCCAGTCAGGACTGCGATATGTACTCACCCATCTCCCAAGACAAGCATGTTGACTGCACAGCCTCGCTTTTCCTATAGTATCATGCACGCTCCTCTTCTTTTCTTAGTTGATTCTCACAGTTGCTGTAACTGCTGTCCTTTCAGCAGCCACGTATATGTGGCAGCCATTTTGAAAATGTGAATTTCCTATTGAGTAGCCATAGGTTTGTGTTATTAATAATATTTGTTTGTTGTGGAGACAATCACATACATATGTTTGTATGACTTGATTAATTAAGAATATATGTACCTGAAATCTTTAAATTTCCTAACTTACTGTCCTGTCCCCATATAGCAGATCTTAAGTTATCATTATTTTATCTAGGCTAGCAGCTAAGAATAACAATTTAGATATGGAAGCCTAGAAAATTTTTGCATCTGAACAGGTAACCTAGATTCTCTTTGTTTTCTACATGCCTCTTGCTGAGATTCTGTGCTGTGACTATTTGTAAATAGAAAAGCTCCTCTGTGAGACAGTTGGTTATTTACAGTGTTTTCTCTATTATGCAAGATAAATTATTAACCAGAAAATAATTGAATATTGAATATGCCCTGGCAATGGAATAATCTTTCACCAAGTCTGTCACATAGTATGCTACAAGCATGCATTCCAATTAGTTGAGTGGGCCAAGTAGATTAATGTATCAAATTGCCTAAATTCATGTTCCAAACCTACTTTTCATAAAAACTTACTACTGCAATTGTGAATAAGTTATTATTCAAGTTTGCTAACTTCCTGCAAATTTCAACTATATTTTATGACCCATGGATTTAGATCACAGTTGAATATTCTTACCATTGAGAAAATTTTCTTGAAGATACATTTTCATTTCTTCCATTTTGATAGGATTATATCACAGCTATTCAAATAGTTGACATGCTAACATTTTAAAACAAATGGGTAGGAAATATTTTACCACATTTTTATAAATAATTTTTCATACTACTAAGGACGAGAATAAAGAACAAAGTAAGCTGGGAGAATATTGGATATTTCAGGATTGTAATATCAGTATAAGAACAAGCAGAACTATTTAGCCATTATGTCATAATAGTGCCCTCTCAGTGGTTCTTCACATGTGGCTCCCGCATTGGCAGCGTGAGCAGCACCTGGGAATTTGTGAGAATCACAAACTCGTTTTTTTAAGATTTATCTATTTGAAAGGCAGAGTTGGAGAGGGAGAGGAAGAGATCCTCCTTCTGTTGGTTCACCCCCCCAATGGCTTCAATGGCCAGGGCTGGATCAGACTGAAGCCAGGAGCCAGGAGCTTCTTCCAGGTCTCCCATGTGGGTAGCAGGGACCCAAGCACTTGGGTTATCTTTAGTTGCTTTTCTCTGGATGTTAGCAGGGAGCACGATCGGAAGTGGAGCAGCAGGAACACTAACCAGCTCCCAAATGGGAGGCTCGCGTTGCAATAGGCGGCTTTATGCTCTACACAATACCAGCCCCAAATACAAACTCTTCAACTGCACTCCAGATGCTCTAAATCAGAAACCCAGCCATCAGTGTTTTGTGTTTTCACTTGAAAGAGTTCCCATTGAAGACTAACACTGGATAACCAGCATCCCAAAGATTTACTTAGTTTTTCAAGTTCTCTCAAAAAAAAAATCATCATACAATTTAATCTTCATTAAGAAGACAAAGTATTATCAACATTTAATAGAAGAAGAAAGTAAAACCCAGAAAGATTAATATTGACTTCTTCAAAGTTACACTGCTATGCTGCTGGCAGAGCTAGTACCTAACTTGACTTTCACTGACACTTGCCTCCATTAACAAAAAAGCAGAAAAAAAAACAAAAACAAACTCAGTCATTTTTACCTTAGAAAAAGTAAAGGGTAAGTCAGGCAAAGCATTGACACTGGCATGATGCTGAATGTGGCTGAAGAACAATCAATGCACGAGTATTAGTGAGCACCACAGGGGAGGAAATCACAGATAGGATGAAGAGGATAAAGAACTCTGTCACTGTTGTAACAAATACTCTATTAGCGGTTGTTGTAAGCACAGGGATACAACCCTAAGTAAAGCAGAGTATTGATCTTTAAGGATTTTTCAGTATACTGGGGGAAACAGTCCAAAAGGACGGCTGACTTCAATACAGAAAAAAAAAAAATTCTCTAATACATAAAGGATGCCACAATGTTCATTTAGAAAAAGCACTGCTGGCCCTGAGCATGACATAAGGAGTAACAGGTGGTTCAAAACTGCCTGGAACGTGCGCTACCTAATTATTATTGTAGAGCAGTGGAGAAAAGATCTTAGCCCATTGATTTAACTAAAGTTATGAGAAAGAATGAGTGGATATGAATCCTTATTTTCTTACCATTTGTTATATACAAAGAGATGTCAACATTTTTAAGTGTCATTATTCTGAAGGATTATTGTTCACAGGTATGTTTGAAATCCAGAAAAAGAAATTTTTAAATTGAGTTTCTTTAATAGAGCAATTTAAATATTTAATGGTATAAAAATTAAGCATTTTATCATTTTATTTAAAAACACTCCATAATTTGGAAGATTAAAAAATAACTCCATGCTTATTTTATATTTGGAGAGATCAGATACAAACTGTTACTTGATTTTACTGGAAAATATTTACATAGTCATTATATCAGACTGAGACAGCATTGAACATATTGTGGAATAACATAAAATCTATAATTTATATAACCTTGGCTATCGATTTCATATATAAAATTAATAAAATATATCCTTTTCATAACAACCTTGGCTAAGATCAGCACAGTAATATTAAACTCTTTCATTTTTGCTGATTCAACTTCATATAGTTTTTTCTTAACTTCTTATATATATGATGGATGAAAAACAGGAGAATACAAAATAATTGGAGCAGATGTAAGAAAAAACAGCTAAATCAGAATTATTTCATTAAATTTTCAATTTGTGAGGCAATAAAAATGAAGATTTAATATGAAGCAGCTTTTTCATTATAATTATTCTACAGCAGGGAACTCATGGTGATTAGAGTATTTTGTGTGTTAAATTATATTGTTTGGCATTATTGTTATCTGATTCTGGATTATATTTATATCAGCAAGCTAATTTATACATTAATGAAAATGTGTAGGTAGTAGACTAATAAGCATAACAAGAGAAATGACACATCATAATTCTTAACCTACAAAATACTCAGCTCTAGAACACCTGAAAGATATATATTAATTTCACTATTAGTGAAATAATGTCAATATTAGCCCTAGTTTTGACAAGACCTCAAATGCTTTTTTTTTTTCAGTAAGGTGAGACATAAATGTTTTCTGTAATGGCCAAAATTTATTACATTCAACTTTCAAGTGTTGAAAGCAACAGTTAAACTCAGAAATATTATGATAGCTTTGTACAATCATTCATAACTAATATAGTGCTTTTATCTTAGATTTTGCTCTCAGCAAGGAATTAACAGAAGGGATGAAGTACAGAATCAAGAACTCTCCAAAAGATACCAACATTCTTAGATGATATCTACACAGAGGCAGGAAAGTACATGCCGGTTGTAAGTTGGTGTATGATATTTGAATCACAAGGATGTTAATATGGTAGAGATAAATAAAGAACAATAAGCAGCAGGGCATTACAGAAACAAAGATGTCGCAGTTACAATGGGTCACATTTTACCAACAATATTTTGAAAGCAAGATAGGTCAAGTTGGCCCAAACTATGTCCCCATTGCCCTGGTTATCCTTGTCATTGAGGTAGAGAGTTATTGGCAAACTCTGCATCCAAATGCCTTGGACTGGAAGAACAGTCAAGGGGTTCTAATTCCTTTCTTAAACTGACTAGTTCCAACCCAACTAAACCCACAACAATATTCAGTGTTGTCTGCAATAATTCTTGGTATCTTATGTCGCTGGACCTGCAAATTGTTGCAATAGCAAGCTATGTTATAGAACAGGGCTTAATGGAAACAAGTAAAATGAGTCCAGAATTAGGTCAGGCCTTGAAATTGTCTATGTTATTTATCAGAAAAAACATTTTAAGGAAAATCCAATCTAGAATGACAAAGGGGACAGATCAATCTAGAATAGAGATTTTAAAAAAAAACTTTAAAATATATGTACAAGTATAATTTTAGAATTATGACACATTTTCTAGATTACATAAGGAACTATATTACATATGTAGTCATACTATCAGAGTTCATAATGTGCAAAGGATACCCATGATTTAGAATGGAGGCAAAAATTTTATCTTCTTAGAAAAGAATATAGTCAAATATATTTTTATTTATACATATTTTATAATATACACATGAATATAACAAATCGTAGTATTCCTACACTTAGAATTTTGAAGTGACCACTTACAGGATTATGAGCCTATGTAATTACGATTTCTATTAACGAGAGAATACATGACCACTCCAGGATGCATGCAGTGGTTTTGTTTAGTACTACTGAGCCCCAGTAGAAAAAGGAAGAGGATGAGGTGGAGAAAGGGCAAAAAGAAACAAAGGATTTCACACAAACCATTGTCCTTTGAGAGGGGTTGTATCGTTCTTAAAGTCTTGACAGGTTTCCTCAGGGACCAATGTCTGGTTTCTTTTGGAGAGGGTGAGAATGTACTCACATGTTTTTGCTACTAAGCTAAGTATTCAACATGATTTTTATTTTTTCAATAAATGAGTAAAATTTACATTTTTCTATAAAAATATTTTATATTTGTTGACTAAACACATGATACACAATTAGTTTTTTTAAAGATTTATTTATTTATTTGAAAGTCACAGTTACAGAGAAAGAAACAGAGAGCAAGCTCTTCCATCCACTGGTTCACTCCCCAGATGACCACAATAGCCAGCGTTATGCCAGGGCAAAGCTCAGAGCCAGGAGTTTCATCCATGTCTTCCATGTGGTTGGCAAGGACCCAAACACTCCTCCCATCTCCCTCTGCTTTTCACATGCCATTAGCAGGGAACTGGGTCAGAAGTGGAGCAGCCAGGACATGAATTGATGCCATATGGAATGTTGGCTTTTTAGGCAGCAGCTTAAACTGCTGCACCTCAATGCCAGACCCAATGCAATTAGTTTTTATTTGATAGTAGTGGATTTTTTAAACTAATTTGATATTTTTTTTAAAAAAAAATGTGTTTATCTTATTTGACAAGTGGTGGGGAGGGAGTGCTGGTTCAGTCCCTAAATGCCCACAATGGCTAGGGCAGACCAGGCCAAAGCAGGAGCCCAAAGCTTATTCCAGGATCCCAAGTGGGTGACAAGAACCAAAGTACTATTTATAATCTGCTATCTCCCAGGATGCACATTAGCAGAAAGCTGGAATAGAAGCAGGGTAGAGACTAAGACCAGGCACTCTGATATGGGATGCAGGTATCCCAAGTGACAATTGACCTGCTATGCCCCACACCTGTCCCTCTACTGATATATTTTAGGGTAGATGGAAGAAACATTTACTGTCACATAAAACTGGCTTTCTGATATACTCTCTCATACCAACATCTTTCTGTTATAGGAATCTTTAAGCATACTTCCTTATTCTTGAATTCATAACTAAGGAAGAAGTTGTAGGGAAAAGTAAACATATGGTAGACACTATTCTCTTTTCTGGGAATTTAAAAAGTAAAATTTAGAATTTTAATCTAGAATTATCTCAGATACTACAGTAACTTTTGCCTTAAATATATTCTAAATCATTATGAAATATTATCAATATATCATCCAAAATTGAAGTGAAGTGAATAATTACTATTTTGGTCTCTTGTACAGTGTTCTCGCTTGATAACTGGAACACTGGAGATGCAGTTGATTTACAATTTTCAGTGCCCATGAGTCGTCAAATTATAGAATTTATAACATGGGTGAATTTCTAAGAATATTTCAGATTCTTAACTGTGCTGAAAAGTACAAATCAGAGAATGCCCTCGAATGTTAACTAAATCACTAATCTCACCACTGAGTTACAAGGAGAGAGATTCTGGTCCTATTAAATTGGCTCTATCTCTTCTGAAACAGCTAAATGCAGATCCCAACAGTGGTCCATGAACTCCTTTTTTTTTTTTCCTTTAACAGAGTTATAGACAGAGAGAGAGAAAGACAGAGAAAGGTCTTCCCTCCGTTGGTTCACTCCCCAAATGGCCACTACGGCCAGTGCTGCACTGATCCGAAGCCAGGATCCAGGTGCTTTTTCTTGGTCTCCGTGTGGGTGCAGGGGCCCAAGCACTTGGGCCATCCTCCACTGCCCTCCTTGGTCACAGCAGAGAGCTGGACTGGAAGAGGAGCAACCGGAACTAGTCAGAAGGAGGATTAACCAAGTGAGCCACGGTGCCGGCCCCCATCATAAACTCCTTTAAATATCACTAGTGTGATACATATAAAATGCAATAATTTTAATGTATATTCATTGATTATTTTTAGAACTAATTTTTCTTCTTTGGTAATTGTAGAAGACCACCTTAAATGCAAACATCATCATTAAATTCTAGAGGTAAAATAGTTTTCCTCTACTGAAGAGATACTGTAAAAAGCCAGGGATATTAATTAAGAGCACTGAGAAAAACAACATAAATATTAAACAATAGTATAATGGGTAAGTGAATACATGCAGTGATGAAAATAATGTGCATGTAGCCAAGCATAGTGTTGACTGGACGAAGCCAATGCACACACTCTACTCACCTTTACAAAAAGTTTGAGCTCAGTAAAACTGCTTCCTATTAGCGATGCATACTGTACAGAACTTCACTAGCCAAGAAAGGGGCGATCATGAATGTCAGCACAAAGGCAGCTCCACTGTAGTTGGAAATAGAAAGTGGCACATGTGGGGTCACTTGTGAGGTGCTGGAAATATTCGCTGCCCTAACCTGAGTGGTAGTTATATAGGTGTTTGCTTTACAATGATTCATGAATCCTTATAGTCTTAACTATACATGCTCTACTTCTCAATTAAAAAAAATACATAGATGGATGTAAAAGGGAAAACTTAAACATTGAATCAAGGAATTCAGGGTATTTAATGTTTCATGTCTGTGTCACCCAAAGCATACAGGTAGACTACCATCAAAAAATATCACAAAGGGTCATGGAAGATACTATGGAGAGAGAACTAAACTAAGAGAATAAAAACTTGTGTTCAGAAACTGATCTATATTTAGGCAATTATATCCTGGGAATCATAAAACTTCCTTCAGTTCTGAGACTCAGAGTGTGAATCTGCAAATTGGAATAGCACTTACCTGTAGAAAAGTGTGGTAATTTTAGTGAGGTTGTACAAATTACTCATCGTCTCATCCTTTTCACTCAATATCCTTAATCCTCTGCACAAAGATATGGAAACAACGTCAGAGTTAGAATTGTCAAACAGCACCACGTTACATTCAGTTTTTGTTTGTTTATCCTTCATTGCATTCAATACATGATCGTGTAGAAGGAAAACAGGTCTAGTATTTTTTATTAGGGCCAGTGCTGTGGCATAGTGGGTTAAGCCTCAGCCTGCAGCACCAACATCTCATTTGGGCACTGGTGCGAGTGCTGGCTTCACCTCAGATCCAGTTCCCTGCTGATGACCTGGGAGGGCAGTGGAGGATGGCCCGAGTGCTTGGGCCCCTGCACCCATGTGGGAGAGCTGGAAGAAGCTACTGGCTCCTAGCTTCCTATCAGCCCAGTTCATCCATTGTGGCCATTTGGGGCATGAACCAGCCAATGGAAGACCTCTTTCTCTCTCTGGCTCTCCCTCTCTCTCTGTAACTGTGCCTCTCTCAGAGAGAGACAGACAGAATCTACCATCTGCTGGTTCACTTGCCCAGGTGATTGCAATAGCCAGTACTTGGCCAGGCCAAAAACAGGAGCCAGTGGCTTCATCTGGGTCTCCTTTGTGGGTGGCAGGGGTCCAAACACTTGAGCCATTCTCCACTGCTTTTCTAGGTGTACTAGCAGGGAGCCGGATTGGAAATGGAGCAGCCAGGACATGAATCATGAACCCATATGAGATGACAGTATCACAGGTGGCAGCTTAACCCACTATACCACATCAGCCCCAGTTTTAGAATTTGTGTTTCGCATGCACATACGATCACACAGAGACACATGAACGCATAAACACACCACATATACATATGTGCAAGGTTCCTCTGCTGTTTAGGGAAAGCTAAACACATTTGAAAAATACTCAATGAGCAGAAAGGAACAAATGTTTGGTTTCATCTGGTAACATTCCTGCTTATAGAAATATGGCAAAGAAATATATATATTATATATTATATATAATATATTTATATATTATTTAAAATACGGCACCTGAATATTTTTGTAGTATTGATTTAGATGACTTTAACTGATAGCAGTCTAGCAATTCATTAGAGTATATATATATTATATATTATATATATTATATATATTTATATACTATTACAAGATCAACTTACTTCAGAATATGTACTTCTTGAATAAGGAAAAAGAAATATTTTAAAACATCTCTCCTCTTTGGTTCTATATGTGGGGAGCAACTCGGACTAGACTAAGTTACTGGAATTAAGACTTATTCTATGCATCTGCTCTCCCACAATATGGTGCTGGGAGAGGAGAAAACAGCTTCTACGCAGCTGCCTCTTGCCAACTTGAGTGATGACCTCCAGGAGCTGATCCTGCTCCTGATTGGAGGAGAGCAGCGTACTCGGCGTGTGGGCAGCCGAGTTGGGATTGGCGGAGGAGGACTATAAGGGAGGAGAGAGACAGCATGCACCAGGAACATCTAAGGGGAACATCTAAGAGGAACACCTGTGCAGCCCCCGAGAGAGCCGGCCGGCGGTGTGCCGCTCCCCTGCGGAAGTGGGGAATGTGGCAGGGGGAACTGCCCTTCCACGGAGGTGGAAGGGACGGTAGCCAACCCGGGAAGGACCAGCAGCAAACCCGGGGAGGGCCGAGCAGACAAAAGAACAGCGCGGGGTCCTGTGTCATTCCACCACGAAGACGGGGAGCGACACTATACACTTTTCTAGATAGGTTCTTTCTTTCTTTCTTTCTTTCTTTCTTTCTTTCTTTCTTTCTTTCTTTCTTTCTTTCTTTCTTTCTTTCTTTTTTTTTTTTTTTGACAGGCAGAGTGGACAGTCAGAGAGAGAGAGAGAAAGGTCTTCCTTGCCATTGGTTTACCCTCCAATGGCCTCCACGGCCAGCGCTCTGCGGCCGACGCATCGCGCTGATCTGAAGCCAGGAGCCAGGTACTTCTCCTGGCCTCCCATGCGGGTGCAGGACCCAAGGACTTGGGCCATCCTCCACGGCACTCCCAGGCCATAGCAGAGAGCTGGCCTGGAAGAGGGGCAACCGGGACAGAAACTAGCACCCCGACCAGGACTAGAACCCCGTGTGCCATCACTGCAAGCAAGGTGGAGGATTAGCCTAGTGAGCCGTGGCGCTGGCCATAGATTCTTTCTTTCATAACCCATTTAATTTCACAACAATGTTTCAGGTAAAATAAAGATTCCAAGAGTTCAAGTAATATTAAGGCTTGTAGTAAATTAATGGAAAAATCAGGATTTTGCCCAAATTTACCTGATTTTGTTATAATAAGGTCTGTCCCCTCATTCAGCTCAGACTCCCAAACACACAGATACACACACAAAATAGATAATTTTCTATTTAATTTTTAATGAATTGCTATCTCTAATATGTCATGCAAAGAAACAACTAATGACTCTGCACCACTGCTCATAAATATCTGAAGTCACAGTTTCAAAAATTATGACATATGCTTTCAAATAATGACTAGATGGAAAATAATTTGCAAACACCTTTATGTTTTATTTAAGAGCCTCTAATGGAGCAATAAACTAAATATACCCAGATTTTGTGATATTTTTAAAATATTGCACCTGAATATTTTTGTAGTATTGATTTAGATGACTTTAACTGATAGCAGTGTAACAATTCATTAGAGTATTTGATGAAAAATTTATATGACTGGAATAAAATCTAAGTATTTTATTCAATGAAGTTGCAATGAAATTAAATGAAAATTCAAACTGAACATTTATATCCTGAATGCTAGGCATGGTGTTGGATACAGTGTAAGTTGTTCAAGATTAGCAAAATTAAAACTATAGGAGTGTAATGGTTAAGATGTAGGCAGTAGGCCGGCGCTGTGGCTCACTAGGCTAATCCTCCACCTGTGGCGCCAGCACACAGGGTTCTAGTCCCAGTCAGGGCGCCGGATTCTGTCCCGGTTGCCCCTCTTCCAGGCCAGCTCTCTGCTGTGGCCCTGGATGGCAGTGGAGGATGGCCCAAGTGATTGGGCCCTGCACCTGCATGGGAGACCAGGAGAAGCACCTGGCTCCTGGCTTTGGATCAGCGTGGTGTGCTGACCGTAGCGGCCACTGCAGGGTGAACCAACGGCAAAAGGAAGACCTTTCTCTCTCTCTCTCTCACTGTCCACTCTGCCTGCCAAAAAAAAAAAAAATGTAGGCAGTGAACTTACTAGTTTTAAAATCAGGCTCTTGCTTGCTTCACTCAGAGATAGAAATACTAAATGGAGCCTGGTTTTGTGTGTAAATAAGAACAGTGTGTGCAACAGTGAGGGAATATACATTCACATGTGAATGCGGGATGCCCTACACAAAGCACTGTACAACACGAGCTGGCCCAAGAGTAGCCCACGTATTAGGGAGGAAAGGGAAACTGACAATGGTACCTGCAATGGGGAAAATCTGTCCATAACCAGGTAGCTGGGAGAGTGGAAATGTTCCATAAAGCGCCTAAATGACCAGTGCAGTACCCTTCAGTGGAGGACCAGGGCAGGGAAGGGGAAGGACCACTAACCTGTCTTCCACTCCTTTTATCTCCTTTTACAAAGTAAAAGGTGCATTTTAGGAAGGGAGACATTCTGATTGAAAAGCAGGGGGTTGAAGGGAATATTGGCGCCAACTGGCTCCACAGACTTTGCCTATCCAGCTTCACAGAACTAACTAGCTACCCACCAATTTATTCTTCCTCGATTATAAAGAATTACTAGCATAAAGAAACTGGATATGAATACAGTCTTTACAGATATAATTTTCCTTATGTATCCATCAGATTGTTAGTGTTTACCACCATGGCTCTCCCAATAAGATGATGCTTATACAGAGAATTTTTACATTATGCATCTTTAAGCATCTTCTGGCTTCACAGGCGTCCCTTGTATATGTACTCTGTCTTGGGAATTACTAGAATGAGAGCCATAAGGCTTGTGTCCTCACCAAGTGATAAACCGCTGATAGCATTTTCTTGCGAAAGCTTTTCGATGCCTACTTTGAATCCCTCACCTGGCATTTTCCTATTGTATGCAATGAGTTTATTCTTGCCAGAGTGACCATTTCTGTGTCTATTATGTAAACTTCTGATTCCTGGATCTCAGCATGAAAGAGTAGGTGGAACATTATTTTCAGAATGATAGATTTTCATAAAAAGTAGGGGTGGTATATTGTGTTCTTGGGGTCAGCAATAATACAGCAATAGGAAGGCACAATTTTGGCAATTTTGTAAACACATTGTTGTTATTCTCTTTCTGATCTGTTTCAGGAGCTGGTCTTATAATAAGTAATAATTTTAAAGATAAATACTTAAGAGGATTCTGAGATATGGTCCATAGGATGACCAGAACAATTTTTGAATTGATAATGTTGAATGTTTCATAGCTAGCTCATAAACAATGAAGATTTCAATTCCCAAATTATTCATAAAATAAATAAAATACACGTAATGAGTAGTGTTCTACTCTTATAGCAAATATCTATATAGGATAGGATATCTGAGACAACAAATTTCTGGAGAGAACTATGAAGCACAATATTAATAATAAATTTCCTTAAGTAATTAACACATAGAATCTTCCTAGAAAAATGAAAAAAATTAAATTGCAAATTGTGTTTATCATTGTAAAATGTGAAATAATCTGGGAACAAATATTTTGTTTATTTAGCTTGTATTTGTTTATTTAATTTTGTCACTTACTAAACCAAATAATATTATGCATAATATAATTTCATTTCTATGATTTTATAATCTTATTGGGAATAATCTTATCTTTATCAAATCTTCTACATAAATAGTCATCTGGTATGTAAAATCATGCTGTAAAAGTATGTTTTTTAAAGAACATGAAGTGGTAAAGAGGTTTAATGTGAATTTTATTAGGTTCTATATATGTAGATTAAAACTGTTACAGTAATTTTTATTCCTGTGTTTCACATTTAGACATCAAAGTATCATTCTTCTAAACCTACATGCTTGATGCTATTCATTTAGAAATTAATGCATCGTATCTAATTCTAAAATGAACTCTAGGATTATGAATAAAATCTTGTGCCACAGAAATTTATTAGCATCAAGAATATTACTTGGGGCCAGTGCTGTGCCAAAGAGGGTAAAGCTACCTCCTGCATTGCTGGCATCCCATATGGGCGCCAGTTTGGGTCCCAGCTGCTCCACTTCAGATCCAGCTCTCTGCTGTGGCCTGGGGAAGTAGAAGAAGATGGCCCAAGTCCTTGGATCCTGCCTCAACCTGGGACATCGAAAAGAAGCTCCTGGCCCCTGAAGCCCAGCTCCAGCCATTGTGGCCATTTGGGGAGTCAGAGGATAGAAGACCTATCTCTCTCTCTCTCTCTGCCTCTGCTTCTCTGTATCTCTGCCTTTCAAATAAATAAATAAATCTTTAATAAAATAAAATGTATTATATAATGAACTAAATTAAAGGTAGTTAATGCATTAATATTCTTTTTTAAAAGATTTATTTATTTATTTATTTGAAAGGCAGAATTACAGACAGAGAGAGGGCGAGACAGAGAGATCATCCATCCAATGGTTCACTCATCAAATGGCCAGAGTGATAGGAGCCAGGAGCTTCTTTCAGATCTCCCACATGGGTACAGGGGCCCAAGCACTTGGGCCATCTTCCATTACTTTCCCAGGTCATTACCAGGGTGCTGGATTGGAAATGGAGCAGCCAGGACTTGATCCAGCACCCATATGGGATATGCTGATGCTGCAGGCAGAGGCTTAACCCACTATGCCATAGCTCTGGGTCCTATTTTCATTTTAGAAAACACATTTCTATATAGACTATCAACTCAAATATATTCTAGCTTTTTTGATGTTACTCCAAATTGGGTTTGCAGTAGTAGGACTGGGCAATTTAAATAGATATGATAATGAGATATATTATCCCTAACTTTCCATCTGTTTGGGTTATCATCCTTTCACCACAGTTCACTTCACAC